CGCTCATGACAAACAAACGTTTGGGCATTTCTCAGTGAGAAAATTCATAGCCGAGTGGTAGAACTTACGGTTCGATCATCAAGATGACACGGGTTCAAATCCCGAACAAACATGGTCTATTGTAAATTTTATATTTATTAATGCAGAGAGATTTGTGTAGCTCTAAAACTCTGGTACACCATACAGTTTTTTGCTTATATTTATAAAATAAAATTACCATGCATTTCCATTTTACACTAAGGAACAATAGTATCCAACAGAACGACTTTGCATCTGTACCAATCGTATGAGGCCAATCTTAATTTCAAAAGCAGTTCTGTAAAAAAAGTAATTTTATATATATAGCCAATATATATATATATATATTTTATTAGGCCTATTATTATTATTTTTTTGATTCCCTACAACCTAGAGTTTTTAAAAACATGGTTTTAAGTAAAGTGTGATTTGCCAGGGGGACGGGGATTTCCTTCTGGTCTAAACATCCCTGCTTCTGCTGAATTATTTGAATCCCCACACCCCTCCCTCCACAGTAATCAATGCTATAGGCTACTTCACCAATAGACCATATCAAATATAAAATAGAGATATGCAACAGAACAAGCACGTTTAAACAACGATAAACAATAAAATCAAAACCAGCGTTTCAGTTGTCCATAGTTCAAGTGGCCTTAATGCATGCACGGCTTTTCAAAATTTCACAAAGCGTTTTGAGATTATTTTGAATGAAATATTGAAGTTTATAATTAAGTGTTTTGGCAGACCACGCCGAGTGGCCCTATGCATTTTTCTAAAATCGGGTTTTATTCGAACTTTTGCTAACGACAAAAGTTTATCTGTCGTCTCTGTCTCCGGGAACTGCGCGTCACAAAAATGAACCGAAAGCCACTTCAGCTCAGTCACTATAAGAAATCGGCTCTGTCTAATGCCTTTAAATGTCTAAATATTCAGGCTAATAAATGTTATCTGATTATGTAATCCATATGAAAACGAGAGGTACAGAGGATCTACTCAAACATGTAGCCTATGTAAGCGCTTCCCAATGAGAAAATGACAAGGGTGAAAATCTCGCTCTAATGAAATGTAGCAGGCTAAATCGCCCTGAATTAAAATGTAAAAACAGATCAAATAATGTATTTGTCGAAATGTTGCGATATTGTTTCATTTAAGTTCATAATTATTCTATAGGCCTACATGTTATTTAATTTAGCAGCATTACCACGAAGCACCGTGGTTCGATATTTATTTGAATAATAAAAAAAATAATAAAAACTTAATTCACAAATTGCATGCCTGGTTGAAAGGATCCAAAGATCCCTGTAGAATTTAATATTAAGTTGAACATTTTGTTCATGACAACAAATGAACATGCGTTTTTTCAGATTATATTTAGTTTTGCTTGGAAAAAGCTGGCCCAAACCAGTTTTATTTCATCAATTATTGAAATAATGAAATATTTAGTAATAAACTTTTATGACAGAAATTTCACTAGGCTACATGTAACTTAAATCATTTAATTCCTTCATTATCAACACTGTCTAGAATAGCGATTTAAGTGTGAATTACGACTTCTCTTTGTGTTAAATCAGCCTCAGACTCCGATAGCCTGTGGGGGGTTGGGGGACAGTTCAGTGCTGTGCGCGCAGGACAATAGGCCTAGGTGTTAATGTTCCTCTTTCATATGGAGAGCGAGGGAGACTAAATAAACTTGTTAAAAAGAGATTCAGCGCGAGAGAGGCAAAGAAAAACGCATGTTTTAATTTAATTATGTTGCTTTGGACAATTTTCGTTTTGTAGGCCTACTGTTTTAATTGTTTAATGTCATTTATTTGGCAATACAAATTTAAAATGTCGCAAGAATAATATTAGCCTAGTGTTTCTTATTTTGCATCGCAAAAGAAATAAACTCTAAACCCGATGCAACCCTGTTTTAAATAAAAAAAAACACTTTATTTAAACCTTGAAATGTTCGAACTTGGTTTCAAACTTAAGTAATTTTAGTGTTCTTTTACATTACACAATAATTTAGCAGACTAAAGACGAGCTTCTTCATTTTCATTTTCTGATGCAATCGGCTGACAATCTTCCTTCATCAGTTTGTGTCCTTTGTGCAGCGGCTGCGGTTCTACTGGAATGTAGCAAATTTATGTTGTAATGATAATTAAACAAAACTCTTGACTTTAAATAAGTAAACAGTTATAAACAGTTAGCTATTTAAGCATCAAGAAGGTAAAATATAAACGCTGTTGGCCAACATCGGTTAACAACATGTATGCCACATTGAGATTCGATCTCGGGTCGATTGAAGCTCCCTGAAGCTCGTGTTGATGCGTTGATCACTGAGCCACCGTTTGTACGCTGTTAGAGTTAAAGTCTTATGCTTTTGTAAAGCTTCATTGATGTAGCCTAAATGTTTTTATTGCAATGTTTTATGTTTTCATTATTTATTCAATTTCATTTCAGTATTTCAGCCTAATTTCAGTATTGTGGTAATGAATTATTTTAACTACGTTTCACTTGTTGAATTCATCTGCTACCAGCTTTCAATCGCTCTGAATGAGCAGCAGATTACGCATTAGAGAGAATAAACGAACACTTTTCAGAGTCTATGATTGTAGCGCCTCTTAGCGGTAAAAGGTAGCAAATACACCCCACATTTTACCGCCGCGGTGGAACGGCTGATGTGGGCGTTGTCATGGCTTTCCTCTACATTTGCGTTTGAATAGCGCGCGTTCTCCGTGGGCGTGTCAGATTAACGCGTAATGAAGTGTAATGAGCTGGGGAAAAAAATTCTGACAGCACTCTCTTTTCATACAGATTACATAAACTGAGAATATTTGTTTTTTATATAAATTACTTCATTGAAAAGAAGAGAATTCAAGCTTCATAAAGAAAAATCTCTCGTGCCTGTGTGACAAGTATTTGCAGAGTTAGAGTTAATTTTTCGGACGCGTTTCAGAATGGACTGCACTGACAGAGAGAAGGCAAAACTCGCATCATGTTTATTTTTCTTCATTTGACAAAAAGCACAACACTTTGTTTTTATTGTGAGTATACAGAAAAATAATATACACTAAACAGGATCGACTGATGTATAACACTTACATGTAAGATTAAAATCAACAGAGTATTTTGAGTCTCTTTTGCACTGATAAGAAAAAAAGTCTGCCTATCGCGCCGGCGCGATAGCCGACCCCAGGGGGTTAAGAGCCGAGTAAGTCAGGCCATTCATTACCCTTAGTTCAGAGATTGTTAGCCTTTTTAGAAGGATAAAGGGAGAGAGAAAGATTGAATCACCTGCTGCTGAAGATAATTAATGTAACAGTGTTTCAAGGCTCAGTCTGAAGGGCCCAGAGGCTTTATGTAAGATTTTTTTCCTCATTAAGTCGTTTAAAAAAAACTCTGTTTACAAGAGTTGTCAATTTTATGTGTTCATTTAGAATACTTATCAACAAATAAACCACTTTTTGTAATATCCATTCCATGGTTTACTAATCTGCCACATCACAGGCTTTTTGCAGCAACTATTGATGTACAGTATGTGATTGGTATTATTAATCAGTAAATATTGTGTAGTGTATAATTGAGATACTTTTGAATTTTATTTTTTATTTTTATATTTTCCATTTTCATTTCATTTTGTTGTAATTTTTTGTCATTATTTAATTTTTTAATGTCTTTTTTAAATTAATTTTTATTTCAGTTTGAGTTATTTTAGTACATGTCCATCTGAACAGTTTTAATTTTGTCATTGAATAATACTGATCCGGATTTTATTTTGTGTTAATTATTTAAAGTTTTTTTTTATCTTACCTTTTCACTATTTAAAATTTTGTGCTATCACTAAATTAGCAAATGTTTCCATTTATTCCACTTTGTAAATTTATTTGATTATGCATCATCATCCTGTACATGCTAAAATCATCTCTAAATAAATTTAGCAGTGAAAGCACAATGTTCTCATCTTATTGTTTTATTACTAGTATTAAAAATAGATTTCCTGTTGAAACCAATAGTATCCAGCTGCAGACCCGCAGCACCATCAGTTTCAGAACCCCAGCGCCAGAACCGGAAGTAAGGGGCGGAGCTTACGTTCTAACACCAGCGCCAGGACCGGAAGTGAGGGGCGGAGCTTACGTTCTAAACCGAGTAACGCCACCTAACGTTTTGGAGCGTAATTTGCTTAGACACGAAACGGCATTATTACACACGAAACGTCATACTTTATACGTATTATAATGATACATTAAGGTATAGTACAATAAGCATTTTAAAACATTGATTTTGTGTAATATAATTCTATATAGTTATCCGTTTCATTGTATTATGAGAGTTACTTCCTGATCATGATGGTGAAAAATAATGCTTGAAACTTATAGTCATTTTATATAAAATATACTTTATTTCACAAGAACATGTGCAGCATGCATTTTTCTTTATGTAAAATAATGTCAACAATCTAAAAAGAGAGAGAAAATCCGGCATTGTTTTAAAGTGATGTAATGTAGAATAGAATGACTGCTGCGCATGACAGGGCGCTTAACGAGCAGAGAGAGAGAGCCCTGGCCGCGCGCGCGCACTCTCACGTCTTCAAACAACACGAGCGCTGTCTTGCTCTTTATTTGTCACATACCAGTTATAGTTCATACAATGAGCAGTGACTCAATGTGTAATAAAAATATACCCTAAATATTATTTAAAAGGTGCAACAATTTTAAATATTTTTAAATACTTGCAAAAATAACCATAGATATCATATATGTCTATGAAAATAACCATGCTTGTGTCATTGTAAATAATTCCGCCCCTCCCTCACTTCCGGTTCTGGCGCTGGGGTTCTGGCACTGGGGTTCTGAAACTGGTGGTGCTGCGGGTCTGCAGCTGGATATATCTCGTTGAAACTGCTTCCTTGCTTGTGGACTAATTGTTGAAACAACAGTGTAATGTAATATTCTCTTTAAAGTGAACTGATCTACCTGCTCTCCCTCTTCATCCCTCAGGATAATGTGAACCTGCTGCTTACTGAAGAAGAGATGTACAGTCTGATGGAGACCTTCAAGCAGTGCAAGATCATTCCAGGTGTTTCTCTCAGTCCCATTTTAACAGCCTCTCCTAGAGTAATGCTTTAAATATGTGACTTTGTGGAGTAAACTAAGGAAGCTAATTAAAGTTTTACTAATTTATCACATCAGTACTGTAATTAGCCCTGAACTGTTTCCATTGATTGGTGATGCTGTATCTTCCCTCTCGCCCACTTTCTGCTCAGAGTCGTGCCTGGTGTCAGATGAACTCCTTCAGTACAGGCACTTTGTTACCAAGCAGCTCTTTGAACGAGACTTGACCGATGAAGAGGAAGAGGAGGTTCTGGCTCAGTTTGCAGCACTGGATCCAGAGAAGAAGGGTCAGATTGAGTGGTCTGACTTCCTCTACCACGAGTCGCTCTCAGTGCTGCAGAAATTCCGGACTGAGGTAGGGCTTTCAAAATGGCTGGAAAGCGAAATTAGAACTTTTTACTTGATTTTTACTAATATTCGAAATATATTTGAATTTAAATGGTATAATTTCAGTTAGGGAAAACAAGCTTTTGACTTGTCTCCTGAGGCCAAAAGAGGCCACAATGAGTAAAATATAAATGAACCACATTATATTGTTTATTCAAAGCAATGAAATATGACTGTCTGTAAAAACAAAAAAAGTGCAAACCGTTTAAACTAATGTTTATCAATCAAATATAATTTAATGATAAATGCAGTAAAAACAGTAATATTGTGAAATATTATTACAGTTTGGACATTACATATTACAACATAGCAACTTAACATGTGAGGTGTGCGTTTATATGAATAAACAGCTTTAAACGTGGCTAAACCAATCAGTTTACAAGCTTAACTATCTGTTTTACAAGCATTTTTTAATGTTCAATACTTTCAAAATGCTAAATTATAACAAACAATCAAGTAATCAACCAAAAGCATTATGGAATTTTTTCTCTTTTTATTTTCAATCCAGAATTCGCTGGTGAGAATCCTCACAGCGAAGGAGAGGGATCGGGCACGGGCCGTTTTCCAGAGTCTAGACCAGGACAAAGATGGGATCATTACTGCCGGAGAAGCCAGAAGAGCCCAAACCTCCTGGTTCCACAAGATTAACAAAGAATCACAGTCCTGCAGTGTCAGGTGAGCTAATTGTATGAGTCAGTGAGGCTAATCACAGTTAGCGGGACATTTCTGAATGGTTCTCAATCACAGCCTCCTACATAATCAACAATAAACTTCAGACAAACACTTCAAAATCATTTCAGGTACTCGTCCAATTTGCCTGGCCTCTGGGAGCAACAAATCGGATCAAGCTTGGCAGTTTTTATAGCCATGTCAAGCTGCCAATGCTTCCACGAGCTGCTAGCCAATGCTAACTGCTCTCACTTTATTAGCATGTATCCCCCATCTCTTCTCATGAATTACGGGCTAACTTTGAGTTCAGTAACTCTACCGAGGGAATATGAATCATTTAAGCAGCGCATTTGCTGACAGTTCTGACTTTGGGATTAATGCATAACGTAAATTAGATGATATAACCGGTTGGATAAGTCATCTGTGGAAAGGAGAAAGATTCTCAATGACAGGCTAAATCCAAGGACAAGGACTTACTTTGACAGAGCACACTTTGCGAGTCATATCATAACTCAAACCTCGCTCGAAGAGCACAAAAGTCAGAATGATTTGCATTTTTGCAGAGATTTGTGGGTAGGGTGGCCATTTCCTCCTTGCGGCATTTAGTGAGGCAAGAATAATTGCATAGGTCTCTGGTGTTCTCGCAACTACAATACAATTTTGTCCATATCGATGGTATCATGATACAGTGATTCTGAAATAGCCTACTCTATTCATTGCCAGACAATTTGATCTACGATATATCTTGATGTAGACTTATGTGTAACAGAAGAGGCAAAAAAGTGTTTGTTCACAGTATTTGTATTTATTCAAGACATTGTGATGTCTGTTTCAAAAACTGACCACTGAGATGAACCTGTCTTGCAAAGTGCACAGTGCCAGAAAACATAACATGTCTGGACTTCTGGAAATAAAATAAATACATAAACAAATAATGAATGCGAAAAATAAATAAATACACATTTCAGTTCTTAACAAAGAAGTTCACCCTCTGCAGCAGCTCAGGCGACAACAGCACTTGTCAGATATCAGATATCTATTTGACACCGCTTTCAGACAATCATTTGTTTGACCAGAGATCTTACGGCATTAGATGCTATGCTGCTGCGTCCCAATAAAGATTCTAGAGCGTTTTTTTTAGGCCGATTCAGCGCAACTCCAAAAAGGAGGACAAATGAGTGTCCTGCTTGAGGCTGCGCCGGACGCCGGACAGGGGGCTTAAAATCCGGACGTATCTGGCCACCCTATTTGTGGGCGAAAATGGAGCCAGGTACCTCAAATATAGAATTTTTCCTCCTGAATCCTTCATTCCTCAAGCGCCATCATCCAGAAAGAAATATCACAAATGAGACGTATTTAATGTCGTAAATCTTTCTCCTAGACAGCAGTGAGGTTAAATGAAATCTTTCATTTCTATTTATTTATAATTATTAATTATAAAATTTAATTAGGTTTTATATATGTAATTTCAATATATATATAATAATATAATAACATTTTTAGTGGTGCTATACTGTATATAAAAATAATCTCATTTGTATCAATTTTTTTCTCATTTTGAATTTGAAGAGAAATATCTGAGACAAGGTTAATACTTAATATGTTTTTGAAAGAAGTCGCTTGTTGTAACCTGGCTGCATTTAATCAAAAATACAGAAAAACAATAATATTGTAAAAAAAAAATTTATATATATATATATATATATATACACTGAACAAAATTATAAACACAGCACTTTTGTTTTTGCCCCCATTTTTCATGAGCTGAACTCAAAGATCTAAGACTTTTTCTATGTACACAGAAGGCCTATTTCTCTCAAATGTTGTTCACAAATCTGTCTAAATCTGTGTTAGTGAGCACTTCTCCTTTGCAAGATAATCCACCCACCTCACAGGTGTGGCATATCAAGATGCTGATTAGACAGCATGATTAGTGCACAGGTGTGCCTTAGGCTGGCCACAATAAAAGGCCACTCTAAAATGTGCAGTTTTACTGTATTGGGAGGGGGTCCGGGGTCCGGGGTCCAGGGTCCCCCCCCCCCCCCCCCCCCCCCCAAAAAAAAGGCTGTTGATTTTGGCCTGTGGAATGTTGGTCCACTCCTCTTCAATGGCTGTGTAAAGTTGCCTGATATTGGCAGGACCTGGAACACGCTGTCGTATACGCCGATCCAGAGTAGACCCCGAAGCCGCCGCCATTTACACCATTTGCGCCATTTAGAATTTCAGCCGCCGCCAGCCAATAATTTCATAAGCCAAATTGAGCCGCCATCTGATAAAGTTTGGCTGAGCCGGCTAGAATTATTTGCATCAAATAATAATTCTATCACATAGAGACATACACACACGAAATATATAAACAATACACAAGATCTATTTTCCCACTGGATTCAACAGCACAGTCTTGTGCTCGTTGCTACGATACACAGACTTATATAGCACTGAACGTGATATTACTGCAGTAACAAACCACCGTTTCCACATGGCTAATTCACGACGCATGCTTCAGTGTATTGAAGTGAAATCATACCTGTCAAGTATCCCGTTTTGGCCGGGAAAGTCCCGTATTTTACCCTTTTTTCCCGCCGTCCTCCCGTATTAGGATTTTCCCGTAAATCTCCCGTATTTTAACCTGCGTTATTGAATAATAATAATACCCCTGGCGGAGTAAAAAAAAAAAAAAAAAAAAAATCCCAATCTGAGCTCTGTCACTATAGCCTCGCGATAACTACAGGTATTGTCGGTGGCAGTTGTCGCGAGGTTAGTGTGTGAGGTCAGATGATGAGTGACAACGCGGGGGAAACAAAAAACAAACAAATCGGATGATCTACACTAAGACAGAGCAAGGCACTCCAGCCAAAAAACCAAAACCCTCATGTACCAAATACCGCGATCAATGGGATAGCGAATTTACTTTTCTGAAGGAGGAGCAGGGTGGGGGACAGTCACGCGTTTTGTAAGTTTTGTAACTGCGACTTTAGCATCTCACACGGGGAAGGAATGATCAGCACGAGAAAGGGTGTTTAGCATACACGCAAGATTGTTACAGAGAATAGGATGACGTTAGACAACAGAACCGTTTGCTCTACTCTCATGTAAACTTAACCACTCTGGCCCAGCCCACAAATACACTCCTTCCAAAACAGTTAATACAAAGTCTGCAACAAATTTGTTCAATAACTCACTAAAAGAGTAAAGAAAAGTTATGTGAAATGAAAAGAAAAACTGCAAATGAAAAGAAAAACTGTAAAAGAAAAGCAATATGAAATGAAAATAATGTGTGGAATGAAAATAAAATGTAAATGTAAAGACAAGCAATGTTAAATGAACAGAAAATGCAAATAAGCCTTTAAATAATGCTCTTAATATATACCCTATAGTATACATACCATACATATATATATATATATATATATATATATATATATATATATATATATATATATATATATATGTGTGTGTGTGTGTGTGTGTTTTCATTTAGGCTATAACACCTGTCTTAAAATGTAAGGGATACTGGAGCTTGGTTGGGGTGTTGGGACTGCACGCGGTGGGTGCCGGAAAATTTCCCTTATTTTCAAATCCAAAACTTGACAGGTATGAGTGAAATGTGCAAAACTTTGTCCAAAATAATACTGATAACAGTGTGTGTACTGTTTATATTAAGGCGAGACACGGCAGGCAAAAACATCGGGGGTTTTTTACTGGTCAATTTTGAGATTTTTGGATATTTGTCTTCAATAACATGTCTTCTTTCCGACTTGTGGTGAAAAAAGTCCGAAATACACATTTCGGTCTTTATTTTACTACACTTCGTCTGTTTGCGTCTGTAGATTTCTCATAAATTCAACAAAGGTTTGCGTTCTTAATCAACATACTTCTCCGCAATCTCTGCCGTCACCCTCTCATCACATGCACCGTTAGCTCTCTCTCTTCTGTACAATCCTGTTGGATCCAAATATGGTCATTTCCTTTTTATCAGCAACCAATCGTGAAAGTAAAAAGACTGAATGCGCGATCTCATTGGCTGATGATAAATCTTTAAAGCCCTTTTTCTCAAAATGAAATGGCTGAATGGCATTTCTGCCAATGGCTGAAGCAGGTAGCCATTTGCAGCTATGAAAAGTTTGGCGGCTGCAGCAGCCATTTAGGTTTTCACTGAGCCGGCTAGCCAGCCAATAACTTCATCAGCCAGCCATTATTCTCAAAACAAATGGCTTCGGGCTCTAATCCCCCCCCCCCACAGGTGTGGCCTTTTATTGTGGCCAGCCTAAGGCACACCTGTGCAATAATCATGCTGTCTATGCAGCATCTTGATATGCCACACCTGTGAGGTGGATGGGTTATCTCTGCAAAGGAGAAGTGCTCACTAACACAGATTTAGACAGATTTGTGAACAATATTTGAGAGAAATAGGCCTTTTGTGTACATAGAAAAAGTCTTAGATCTTTGAGTTCAGCTCATGAAAAATGGGGGCAAAAACAAAAGTGTTGCATTTATAATATTTTGTTCAGTGTGTGTGTATGTGTGTATATATATATATGTATTACTTCTATTTTAATGTAATTTATTCCTGTAATCAAAGCTTAATTTTCAGCATCATTGATGTCACATCATCCTCCAGAAATAATTCTAATATTCTGATTTGCTGCTGAAGAAATATATATTATTATTATTATCAATGTTGAAAAAAGTTGTGATGCTTAATATGTTGGAAACTGATACGATTTTATTCGGGATTCTTTGATTAATAGAAAGTTCAAAAGAACAGCATTTATTTTAAATAAAAATATTTTGTAACAGTATAAATCTTTACAGCCACTTTCTCAACTTATTGACTTTTTTAAACATGAATTTGATTAACTTATCAACATATCTGTGAATTCAGTATTTGGAGAGTCTGTTTTGACATCATCTTCCATGCTTGATTTTATTTTTTCACCTATCATCCCAACCTTTTCACCACTGCTGAATGTCCATTTGCCCTGCAGACTCATTGGATTGTGTTCCCCTTTGTTCAGTATGGGGTAAGTCACTCGATCTGCATGGGCCTCCCCTGGAAACATACTAAGAATTTACCCAAAGCTGCCATCACCATCATTATTCTCATTATAATCATTATCACCTCAGTTACTGAATATTCCATGATGGAGGCCAAGGAATCAGTGGTTAAAAATATCAAAGCTAAACTGACTGTAATGGTTGTTCACTATGGCTGTATTAGATGAGATCTTGTCCTCCCATTATCAAGATCAAAAGAGGGGCTTTTGTTCCCCTCAGAGAAAACCTTAAGGATATTTTTCATCAGTTTTAAGGGGAACAGCAGGTTAAATGAGCGCCTAAGTGTGCGGGTGCATGGGGTTGTGGGTGTTTGGCTTGTTCATGGCATGACTAAGCTTGCATCCTAATTTACGCTCATTAAAATCAACTGAGGGCTTGAGATCAAAGCAGACCGTCTCGACTCTGAGCGGTCCCAGTTCTGCAGGAGGTGTTTGGGTCGCTGTATAATGCTCTGGTCATGGTTGCACTCTGTTTTGCTTCACACGTCATTGAACTTAATTACAAGAAGTTCATGTTTCAAATGAATTTATTTCACTCAATGAAGTTTGTCAGATCCTTTCAGTGTACTGAACGGCATGCAAAGTCTGCAGTTTGTGAGACTACAAGGATTGTGGGCCATTCAGAATTGAATTGAGAATGCATTTTGAATTCCAATTCAAGTCCTGAATGCATGAGTGAACTAGTTTTGTCTTGCCGGTGGTTGGGTATCGTCTCCCAGGGCTCTGAGGTGTCATGAGAACAACAGATAAGACTGTGAAAACCCAGAGCTGGTAGAAGTGCTGCCTGCTGTGAGCTGTCCAGTAGTGTGTGTGTGTGTCTGTATCAAACAGTGTGTGTTTCAGCTTGCTTTCTTCATCTGCAGTATCAGCCATGTTGGTCCAATATCTGAGAGCAGTCCTGCCAGTTCCAGCAGCGAGAGAAGCAGAGATAAAGCCATGGAGAATGACAACAGGTTGGTGTGTGTGTGTGTGTGTGTGTGTGTGTGTGTGTGTGTGTGTGTGTGTGTGTGTGTGTGTGTGTGTGTGTGTGTGTGATCACTTACAATGCAGATGGTCTATCACCCAAGATGCACTGCAAAACTACTCTCCCATAATAATCAAATCCCATTTTCCATGATTACCATTCAAATTAGGGATAGGCATTTTTAAAAAATATTGCATTCGAATATTCGGGCTCATAAAAATCGAATATTCGAATATTTGTTTATTTAATGACGTTTAACGAAAAAGACGTTATTTTTTTATTTTTTACGTTTTTGTCACCATTTCTGAACAAGCTTACAATTAGGCAATATACACAACAAGCTTACAATATATGTTAAAGTTTTCTTTTAGTTGAAAACATTAAACAGTACGCCTATGTGTAAACAAAAAATATAAAAAACAAAAGCATTAATAAAAGCATGCTCAAGCAGCGCGAACGGGAAAAAAACGCCTAATAAAGCGATTGCGCCAGATATCGTAGCCTACAGCACGTACACACACTCGAGTCAGCATATGATTTTCGTGTTTATATTGTTACACTTTTATATTGAGAAAAACAATATCCACATGCAGGGGCACCGCCAGCAATTTATGCTCGAGTGAGAAAAGGCGCTTTGCTGACAGACGTTTCAGAGACACAAAGATAACGGTGTTCTAAGTTTCTAACAGCACTTTGCGTTCCTGTCTCCCTCAACGAAACTTAAAGGAAGTATATGTCTCAAAATCATTTTGCTATAAGATAAGTTATCATCTCGGATCACGCGGGGTCCAGCTGCGCTTACCTGCAGTCGTGAATGCAGTGATGGTCAGCTGCCTTTCCTCATTCGACTGTTTGGATTTCATGTGATTTCTCATTGTGGTGATCATATTATAACTCAGATTAATTAATTAATTTGATCAAAAGTAATTCCATTTAGTAAGATAATTTTCAAGTAATTCCAAACTTCGCGAGGCAGACAACATTATGTAATCAAATACACTTGTTAACACACTCCACAGCGCCACCCAGTGCATTTAATTATAATTGCGAGTTAGTGCTTGGGATTTATCATGGATTCACGGCCAGCAAAGCAACGTAGTAAAATTCGAATAGTATTTTATTTTTCGAATAATAATTACAGATCATCCCTAATTCAAATCTGTTGAAAAAAGTCATAGACTAATAAAGGAGGAATCTGAACCATGTAAGAACATCCTAAGCACCGCCCAGTAACACTGCAACGACAGTATAGAAACTACCCAAAACACTCTGCAACCACCTAGAAATGCCAAGTCAATCAACCAGAACTCTTTAGTAACTCCCTATCAATGGAACCACCTGGAAAAGCCCTACCAACCATCCAGAACACCCTAGCAACTGCTAAGCAACCACCTAGAAACAGCATCAAGCCAGTTCACCCTAGCAATCACCTGGAAATGTCAAGCCAATCAACCAGAACTCGTTAGTAACCCCTTATCAATGCTCTAACAACCACATGGAAATGCCCTACCAACCATCCAGATCACCATAGCAACAGCTAAGCAACCACCTAGCAACAACATAGAAACCCACCAGAACACCCTAGCAACCACCTGGAAATAATAGTCAATCAACCAGAACTCGTTAGTAACCCCCTATAAATGCTCTAGCAACCACCTGGAAACGCCCTACCAACCATCCAGAACATCCTAGCAACTGCTTAGCAACCACCTAGCAACAGTATAGAAGCCGGCCAGAATACCATAGAAATCACCTGGAAATGCCAAGTCAATCAACCAGAAAATGCTAAAAAATGCTGGGTTGTTTCAACCCAACTTTGGGTCAAATATGGACAAACCCAGCCGTTGGGTTACATTTATAAATACATTTTTTTTTACCCAACGTTTGGGTTTGTCCATATTTGACCCAAAATTGGGTTGAAACAACCCAGCATTTTTTAGAGTGAATGCTCTAGCAACCACATGAAAACTCCCTACCAACCATCCAGAACACCATATAAACTGCCTAGCAACAACCTAGCAACAGCAAAGAAACCGACCAGAACACCCTAGCAACCACCTCAATCAACCGGAATTCGTTAGTAACCCCTATCAATGCTCTAGCAACCATTCAGAACACCCAAAGCACTGTGTAGAAATGCCCTAGCAACCATCTAGAACACCCCAGCAACTGCTTAGCAATGCCCTGTCGATCAACTATCTAGTAACTACCTAGACATGTCTTAGAGAACCATTCAGAACACCCTAGTAACCACCTAGAACATCCTAAGCACCACATAGGTGCAACCATACAGAACACCCATCAACTGCCTACCAGCCATCTAGAAACAACATAGAAACCACCCAGAACACCCTGGCAAACACTTAACAATGCTTTCAATCAACCAACCATCTAGTAACTACCTAGCAATGTCCTAGAGAACCATTCAGAACACCCTAGTAACCACCTAGAACATCCTAAGCACCACATAGAAGTGTTCTTGCAACCATACAGAACACCCATCAACTGCCTACCAGCCGTCTAGAAACAACATAGAAACCACCCAGAACACCCTAGCAACCACTTAACAATGCTCTCAATCAACCAGAACTCTCTAGTTAGCACCTAGAACAGACCTAGACCTACTGTGAACTAAGAGTTTGTAAATTCATGGTATTTGCTTCCACTGAAGCCGTCAGCCCACATTATATTAAAATAATTGTTTAACAGCAGAATTTCTGGTGAGAAACTACATTACCCATGATGCTGTGCAGATACCGTGCACCAATTATAGTCGAAAAAGCAACACGCTCCAAAAAAAGCTCTTTAGCTCTGCCCACTCCCACGAAGCAATGCGAATGACGTAATCAAGTCGATCTCCCTACACTCTCAAAATAGTGAAAGGTTTGAATATATATGCATATTTTGCAATAAACTTAAAATATATTTATCAACATTTGTAAATGAGCAGTTTTATATTTCTCCATCGTTTTTAATTTGATTATGCTGTACACAATGCTTCATGGGATTGTAGTTCTTTCCCTCACCAAAACTGTACTTTTATCCTTTTGTCCGATTTTCAAAAGCTTTTCTGCTTTAAATCACTGTTTGTAGTGTTGTGATTCACCTCGTGGCTGATTAGCTTGTTTCATGGCTTGTAACACTTTAACAAAGGATCGTCATGTCTCTGTCAGAAGGAGAATTGGGCGGACACATAGTTTCCCGAAATTTTTTTACAGAAAAGGAAGGTTTGAAATAGGTCTATAATTATCACAGGTGTAAGATTCGGCTTTTATAAGTGGTTTAATAGCTCTCTCAGTAATTGTACCATCATGTTTTCCAGACCGTTTACCTGGGATAACTTCCTGAGGGAGAGCGCCATCTACATCCTGGCCGCCAGGCCCAACAGCTCAGCCATGCACATCCGTTTGCCACTCTAACCGCGGCCACGTAGCCTGAGACTTCCAGAGGGGCTTCCCGGGTCCAGATTTATGAGCAAGAGGTACAGAGGACTAAAGCGAGAGTTAAACGACAAAGCAAATGAGTGGGCCACCACACTCAAAGACTGTACAAGCCATCGATGGATTTTTCCTCTAACAACCCAATCTAGCGACACACTGACAAATTCAAAGCTCTTGAACAATAGCACATCTGTCAGCACTTCAGAATTGAGCTTTCACGAGCTTGTTTGATTTTTGATTTTTGTGACCAAGTCACTGTTTCGATCAGAGAACCTGTCGCCGTTTGCAAAATTACAGCACCACAGTGTTTGCGTAGTGTTTGTGATGTTGACGTGTTGTACCATTTTCCAGTTGTGGCTCTAGCCGAATGAGTTGTGGGATCAATGTGTGAGCAGTAGTCGGATCATTGCTGATCTAATTTCAGTCACCATAAAATATGAATATACAGAGAATATGGTCGGCACATGAATCAAAGTGAGATGCTATTGATACTATATGCAGTATACATATATTATACGAAATATTGTATTTGTATTTATTCCCATACATCCAGGGATGGATCATGGACCAGGCCAAGGGGCTTCCAGACTGCCAGGGGCCTTAAGCTGAGTCAAGTGAAAACAAAGGAAACATAAAAATTGTTATTGACAGACAAACGCTACTTGTAATTAAGATACAAGAGTAAGAAGATCGACATCAGTATGAGTTTCCAGTCACTTGACAAATCGCATTATGAGAAGTTGTGATTCTTAATTTTCTACTTCCATATTGTATTTCTGAGTGAAAGAGGATATGTAATGTGGAAAAAGTAGGGCAGAACTTGATTTCTATCTATGGGGAATTGATTGGATTGTGAAATAAGGTCTTTTTGATTCGTTTCTAAAACTTAGTGAGCTGCCAACTTAAGCAGTATTTAAGGCACCATAGGCATGTTCCTGAAGCAAAATGTGTTCCAAAATGTACAGGCAGCATAAATTAGTAAATCAATATTGAAATATTTTTGAATCTATTTGAATCTTATTTTACCCAGTATTTGTTTGTGAATATTTATGGTTATTAGAGTATTTCTTAGTTTAGCAACCAAAAACTTAATTATGAAGCTTTCTAAGAAACCTAATTTTGACAAAAATCATATAATTTAATATTGAAGAACACAAATTAAAAAGTTCCAATTAAAGATCTAATTATTTTACCCAATATCTGTGTGTTCTATGTCCTTAGCTTAGCAACATGCTAATTTCAAACTGCATTGAAATCAGTCAAAGTCCCTTTAAGACAAGTCATTTCACTCGGCTGCCATCTTGAAATGCCTCTTGGTCATGCAAGTGCATATCTTTTTGAATGGGAAAACATAAACATTTTCAAAACTGTTCCCCAAGCTTTCGGTTAAATTTAATATTTGAAATCACCAATGAAATGTGACAACAACTGTCTCATGCGTTTTGTTTCTAAATGCTCGAATCATGCAGAAAATGTCATTTTTCAAGCTGGATCAAGCTAATGCGCAGTGACTGACTCCGGAGCTTCTAACGGCAGCTGCAGTGACGCGATGACTTTACCAATCAGCAATTGGCTCTTATTTAGAAGGCGGGACTTATTCCACCATATTGAGCGTTAGACTTTTCCCCGTTCAAAACAATACGAGTGACACATCTTGTGTAATTCTATAGTCTTTGAATCAGTCAAGTCTTAGCGTGCTTCTTTCTAAGGTTCCAACCTACTTTTTTTATTTTATTAAAATAGGTATGATTATTTCAATAATAAAATACTTATGAAATCTATTTAAAGATCCAATTTAAAGCAACTATTTTACCCAATATAGGTATGGTTAGCTTAGCAACATGCTAATGCCAGACTCTGTTGAAATCAGTTGTCAGTCAAGTCTATCCTGTGTGTTTCATCCAATCATCATAGGTGCTTTGAAAATCAAATTCAAATTGGTCACATTTCTGGACTCTGTCCTACCTATATGTAGCTATAGGCCTATAGCAAAGCAGCTCACTAGGTTGATAAAAAGTAAAAAAAAAAAAAAAGTTTTTTTTTTTTTATGGCAATTGTGAAATGCAAAGTCGCAATTAAAAAGTATAAGATTTCATTTTATAATTTGTTTCATCCCTGGGGAAAAAGCAATAACACGGGGCCTCGTATTGACCATAATCCTTCCTTGCATTCTTCTGTTGTTTTATTTTTCATCTGATGTTTCTTTAACTCACTAGTTTCAGAATTATTATATTTTATCGGGTCTGTAAAAAATTTAACACCTGTTGAGGTGACTTTACTCAGTGTTTACCTAAAATAACTGATGCAAATATAATCTTCCAAAAGATTAAAATGCTCATTTAAAGGAAAGAGCCCTGAAAGGATTAGAACTTACTGCCTAAACAAAACGACTCAGAGATCCTTCCTTCCTTCCTTCCTTCCTTCCTTCCTTCCTTCCTTCCTTCCTTCCTTCCTTCCTTCCTTCCTTCCTTCCTTCCTTCCTTCCTTCCTTCCTTCCTTCCTTCCTTCCTTCCTTCCTTCCTTCCTTCCTTCCTTCCTTCCTTCCTTCCTTCCTTCCTTCCTTCCTTGTAGTACGATCTTGTTGAAGTTGTTCTTAGATCTGCTGCAGATGAAAACACTTTCTAATATCTAAAACCTTTTTTATTATAGGTGTAAATCATGCACACTCCTGTAAAATGGCTCCTGGGTTAAAACACTCATTATATCAAACTGTTTGAGGGGTATATATGAAACATATCTGCTCTTGTTTATATGGTCATATCCACTGTATTTGCTTATAGAAAGTTTGTATTGGATTGTGCTAGGCAGGCAGTTATTTCAAGGGACTGTGCAATACTCTTGAGTTTTGCTGGTAGTGCTGGAAATAAATGCATGACGTTAACTCCAAAAATTACACTTCAGCTGTGTGGGTCTGAGTCATTTAAACACTGTAAAAAACATTATTGTTGGTTTTACTTAAAGAAGTGAGTAACCTGGTTGCCTTAAAACATATAAGTCAACAGAAACACAAAATATTAAGTTATCTGAACCACATAAATGATCGAAGTCAAAATGTTGTGATAAATCATGAAAATCTTTTTTACTATCTATCTATCTATCTATCTATCTATCTATCTATCTATCTATCTATCTATCTATCTATCTATCTATCTATCTATCTATCTATCTATCTATCTATCTATCTATCTATCTATCTATCTATCTATCTATCTATCTATCTATCTGTCCGTCCGTTCCGTCCGTCCGTCCGTCGTCCGTCCGACGAGAGAGAGAGAGAGAGAGAGAGAGAGAGAGAGGACGGACGTCCGTCCGTGTCTCTCTCTCTCTCTCTCTCTCTCTCTCTCTCTCTCTCTCTCTCTCTCTCATCTCTCTCTCTCTCTCTCTCTCTCTCTCTCTCTCTCTCTCTCTCTCTCTCTCTCTCTCTCTCTCTCTCTCTCTCTCTCTCTCTCTCTCTCTCTCTCTCCTCTCTCTCTCTCTCTCTCTCCTCTCTCTCTCTCTCTCTGTGTGTGTGACACTCATAGCACCCTAAACAGCCGAGCAGCATAAATTGCTCAACAAATTTCACTTCCATCTATATGCTCTTTACTACAGAGAATTCAAAACAAATTCACAATTTCGATCATGTGAAATGCCATTAAAAACTGTGATGTGTTGTCGGAACGGAACAGCTGGAAATGGCGATGGCCCTAATAAAGTTGAGCTCAGAGGAGAGCACTAAGGGAAGTTGCTGTAGCAGATGTGACAGACATGGCCCCTGGCAGGGAGCTTTTTACACATCTGGTAATGCACAGCGTCACTGCTTCTGCGCTGTCCCATGGGGCCTGTCCTGCATCTCACATTCTCTTGGCAATATCAGAACTGCCATTCGGTGAACATAAGTGAACACTTAGCTTAACTTACGGCGCTTAACGTTTTTCTTTTTGCATTACCCTGAATGAGCTACGATGCTCATTTGTCTATAGTCTGGATATGGAGTATTTTCACATGAAATGTTGTAAACTCGTACTCATGATGATGTGTTACTGACAGCACCTTCCTTTGATTCTGAAGGAAGTTGTGTCATGAGTTTCACAGAGCAGTGGATAGCATCACTCATCAGCTGGAGGGACAGTCTGGCTGAAAGCTGAGTCTCATCACTGTAAGCTTGGACACCAGTGTCTCCTCAGCACTCATTCATGCTCTAGACCAGCTTGGAATGTCAGGTGAATTCGATTTAAGAGCCAGAAGTCAATTTGTTGTTAGCCTGAATGTAAAGAAGAAAAACTAATAATATTATTAATATAATATTACCGGAATGTATGTTACAGTATACAGTATGTTGCACACTGCCTTTAATCTATGTTTGGTGTTGCATAAGTATTGTAATGGAATACTCTTCATTTTGTTTTTGCGAAAAAAATTTGGGGTGAAATTTTGGGGTGAAATATGAAAACAAAAATGCATAATTAAAACCCAGTTTCCTTTTTAATCCTACATTTAGTTTCACACACTATAATCAGACAGAGCAGGAAATGCAGATGGAGTCTTAGCTGTCTAGCCTTACATCGTTGTCTCTATTTTTAAAAGCACATTTCATGAAATATTCAACCAATTCTTTCAGCGTTTTCAGCTATAATGCACTCCCCTGACCTATTTTTGTCAATATGACGCAGTAACCTTAAAAATACTTCTCACCTTCACTGGCTGATCATAAATTCAGTGGCACAGATTTCTATCTATAATTTTATTCTTTACACAGAATCATTTGACGTCTATTTCATATGGGTTTTTACTTCAAGAGCTGCATTAGACAATTAACCAGACCGAAAGTAAACTATCTAGTCAGTCAAGTTCATTACATTTGGTATTGTATGGTTTGTAATGTGTGTATGCAAATAAAGGTTATCATCATAAATAATGTAAATAGCACTGAAGCTCCAGTAGTGCACGTCTAAAAGGAAGTGAGACAGAGAGTCTGTAATTTCAAAAGCAACAGTCTGCTTTTGCTTATACTACGAATTGTCAGGCGTTGAAGATTAATATGAAATGAAACTCAGGTTGAACTGCAATCCCTCGCACTCTTTTCCCTAGTCTTTTCTGGTGTGTCTATGTGTGTGAGCAAAACGGTGTGCTGTCTAATAGGATAAACTTGAAGGGGATCACAAATGCAAATTCTGGTATTCAAATGTTGCCTTCTCTGATAAGGCAACCGCTCAACTCAGAAAAGCACTGTGCATAGCAAAGTACATGTTATACATTCTTGTTTTTTGCACAGCAATCTTCCTTTTTAATGCATAATTAAACAGCATTTTTTTCACTGCATGTTTAAGTGGGAGGGTGAGAAAGAGGAGAAAGCATGTGTGTGTGTGTGTGTGTGTGTGTGTGTAGTGGTTGGTCTGTAACACTGGTTATGACAGAGGGAAAGCCAGTGGGGGAGTAATTGCACTTTGCATGACACACAGTGAATCTGATGACACACTGAGACTGAGGAAAAGCATTAAAAGCGGATAACTCAGATACATGTACATGCCATGCACACAAGATGATTGTTATCAAATGTACTATAGATATCTTTGGGATCTTAAAATGACAGCAAAATCAATTTAATTTATTTCCCGAGACCATCATCTCTTCTGGTCTCTTCTCTATCTTGTGGTTAAATGTCTCCATCCAGTGGCGGTTAATGGACATTGCACATATTCCCATAATGGACTTTGGCACTTTTCGTTCCAAATGCCATGAAAACAAATAAAAATACCTTTCACGTGAAAACTGCTGCACACTTGTGTCTGCACCATTTCATGGATGTGTTCTATTTCTACGTTACATGGTTTAATAAAGATTTAGCTTCCAAGGAGACCTTATTCACAGAGCGCCATCTTTTAAAGGGATAGTTCACCCAAAAAATGAAAATTTTGTCATCATTTGCTCACCCTCAATTTGTCCCAAATCTGTATGAGTTTCTTTTTTTCTTCTTTTGAACACACAAAAAAAGACATTTATAACGAGAGAGTTGACGGAAAAGAAAAATACAATAGAGTAGTGCAGGTATGACATCAATTTGTAGGCCAAAACGCGCAAGCGAGTTAGCATTTTAGCACTTCTGGTTCCATCGTCAGTGGGTTTTTTGAATAGGGTTTTGGTTAAATGGCTGGAATAAGGTCTGTGGTGAACACAAGCTCAAGACACTTTCACATTTTATTATAGCATCAGTATTACCCCACTCGTGATTTTTTTAAAGCTGTTAATTATGTGTCTTGAAAAAGGCGGTCTAACAAGTGGCTAAATGGGACTACAGGCTGTCGAGGAGATTAAACATAATCACGATGAACAGGTAAACTCAGTCCACTTTTACAGCCTTGTTATGCTTATAATTGTGCAATTACGTTTGTCAGAATTCTAACTCAAACGTTTGGTGAAAATGTATAAGATAAAGAATTGTCGATATGAGATAAGATAGGCCTATAAGAAAAATAATTGTCGGAAGCTTAGTGATGGTGATGTTGAATTCGTGGGACCCTGGTGTAGTTCGTTGATAGCCTACCTTTAGCTTTTTACTTCTGGTGACTGCATTTAGGCTTCAAAATTCATCAAATTTGTGTCTATCTGTGATAATTATCGTGATGGACAAAACGTTCAAGTATCTTAAACTTTTGTTGGCCACATAGCTTGTTTTTAGCGATAGGCCTACTCCAAAACCCTATGGGAAATTCCTATTGTTTTTTTTTGTTGAGGGAACCAGTGTGATGCTAGTTCAACTCATATCTGCACCACTCTATTAATAGGCTACTGTCAACTGTCTGGTTACCAACATTCTTCAAAATATCGTCTTTTGTGTTCAGCAGAAGAAAGAAACTTATACAGGTTTGGAACAACACGAGGGTGACTATGACCATAGACTTTCTCTGGTATGACAGAATTTTCATTTTTGGGTGAACTATAGCTTTAAGGGGAATGAAAGCAAGGCTGTGAGGGATAGCCATCTCTTCAGTGGGTTATTTATTCAAGAGACAAAAAACGGTAAACATGAGCTGTGGAAAACTATAATTGATCTAGGAGCTTTCTACAGCTTTTTACAGCGGACGCGATTGAAAACACGGTAGATCTATCTCTCACAGTCTCGTTTTCATACTATGGTTTCATACTGCTGTGCTGTTCCAAGTCCCCCTAGTTTGTGCAAACGCGCATGCGCAGAGAAACAGCTGCTTCTCTCCCCCTAGCGGGCGTAGTTGAAGTCGCGCATGCGTAGTGAAGTTATAGTCCGCGGTGGGCGGAGTGGTTGCGAGGATGTACAGTTTGTGACGATAAGCAACGTGAATGAAAAAATGACGAAATAATTGTGATCGAGGGCAAGTAGCGGTCGCGAATCCAATCCATACAGTACTGCGCAAAAGAGAATGTAAGTCCTGTCACATTAAAAATGTGCAACCGTAATTAAATTATTTAAAAAAATGAAAAATGTGTGTCAATCTTGCAGTCGATAAGAATGCTCGATGCGGCTAACTAGCACTACTACAGTGTTGTTGCAGTGGCGCGCGACAGCGTGTTGTTTATAATTTCAATATAACGGTATTTGCATAGTTTCATAGTCAAAAACGTTTGCATTATTTTCCCGTCATAGTGAAGATTGATATTGAAATTTAGATGAAGGCTGCCACTAAAGGCAAATCGACTGGATAATGCATTTAACGTTAATATCAGGATCTTCTTTCATACGTTTGAACCTGAAGCTGAAGTTACTGGCTCTTCTTTATCTTTTTTTTTTTTTGTGCCAGACTTCCTTTGGGAGCTTGAGGCCCTGCAGTAGAGTAAGGTTTTCTAAAAAAACATATGAAAAAAAAAATGTGCCTCGAGGTTGCTTCAGCAATGAAGTACGCAGTTAAATTAATGGGACTGTCAGCGTTGTCAAAATGTTGTTTTGTTGAGTAAGCAATAAGATTCAGAAATACCAGTGCTTGCAAGATGAATAACCTAAAACACATTCATACCAAGATGGACTACGAACTCAGATGTTTGATTAAGACCAATCACTCTTTAGTATGCTAAAATTACAATAACCTGACAGCCATCGATTTTTTTAAATCAAATTATCAGTTTAATTCTATGAAGATTTTAAAACTAGACTTTAAATTCTTAAGTTATTGAAATCCAAAAACCCTAACCACACATAAAAGACCCAATCAAAAATGAAATCAAAATGTTATTTTTTTTAAAGTTAATGGCTTTACAAAACATGGCTTTTTAATGTACATGGAAAAATGGATCTGAAACATTCATGACTTACTGCAAATTTGATGATGTTGAATGTATCTTGCATCATGGGCATATGCAAAATCTAAAAAATGTTCTTGAAGGATGTATAAATAACATTTTGAGAGTGTTGAACAATGTTCTATTAAAATTACTGGAATAACGTTTGTTCATAACCTTGAGAGAACCTTCCCAGAACGTTCAAAGCTCTGATAACTGGGGGAAATCCATGTTTTATATAGGATTAGTGATGCATTACATTAACATCACCATGTTTCTTACACTATTGTGGTGTTTGTTTTGGGTTACAGATCATTTCTAGGCCAACCAGCTGGCTGCTTACCCTCTGTGACCTCTGGGAAGGTTTTTTAAGGGCACTATGGGGAACACAAGCAGTGAGAGGGCGGGCATGGGCCAGGAAAAGGCCCACAGAAGGGACAGTCGAGGAACTAAGGAAGGAGACCGTCCCAAAATCCTAATGGACAGCCCAGAAGATGCCGATATTTTTCATGGGGAGGACATCAAAGTGTGTGCTGGCTCACATTATCTATTCGCTTATGAAGATATCACAATTTAGATATGATGACCATGTGTTCTATCTTTAATTTTCTATTAGGCACCATTAGTAAAAGAGGAATTCATTGACTGGAGATCAGACCTGGACACCAGTGAAAAGGTTCTCACTTTAGATCGACCCACTGTGTTTCGGTGGACAGGAGCTGGAAGAGAAGTCTATATTTCTGGCTCTTTTAATAATTGGATCAATAAGATTCCTTTGATTAGGAGGTACGTAACATTTAACGGTAACGAGAACTATTAAAAAAGTTTAGAAAAATAAATAAATTAAACCTAAATAGTAATATAAAAAATAAAAATAAGATTAATTATAAAGTAAAATTGCTAAAAACTTAACCTAAGATTAAAATGAAAACTGCCAAGCTAATAAAAAATATAATATTTCTGTCATGAAACTCTAGATGGCGCTGATAGGTCCTTAACTCAGTCTGCTTGCAATCCCCCAAAAAACATTTCATTTAACATTAATGTTTACCTCTGTTTCTTCAACAGTCAAAACAACTTTGTGGCGATTGTGGATTTGCCTGAGGGTGAACACCAGTATAAATTCTTCGTGGATGGACAGTGGACACACGACCCAACAGAGGTGACGGAGACATCAATCATCATTAGGGGTGTAACCATACCCTCATGTCATGCTTCGATACATATCGCGATACCGAACTCACGATACAATATTATTGCGATACTCCAAGACATATGATAAAAGGCTAACAAAAAATGTACTGTTGATTAAAATGCTAAATTTGGTGTTACATTGTGGGTGTAAATGAATATGAGGCTTGGACTTGGCGCTGGAAACCCAATGCACAGGACACCAGAATAAAAATATTCATGAATCTGAAGCTGAAAATACAGAATTATTTTAGATGAATATGCTTTTCACTCTGTCACTGGCTAGATATGTTTAAAATAATGTCGGCCACTTTTTACTGGTAACATAAGACATTTGGCATTATCAGGACCCACAAATATTCCCCCATTGCATTATTATACATTATATTCAACATAGTAGTTTATATAGTAGTTTATATATAGTGCTGACACTAAAACTCTGTAAACTTGAGTTTCTCACACAGTAATTTTTGTTTTGTGTGAACTATCCACAATACATATTGTTGCATTTTTGTATTGCGATATATTGTGACACGATATATTGTTACACCCCTTACCATCATCATCATCATCATCTTCCATTAGTACAATAAAACCAGCATAATATTGACCTTCTTTCTCTTCAGCCTGTGGTGACCAACCAGCTCGGCACGGTCAACAACATCATCCAGGTGAAGAAGACAGACTTTGAGGTGTTCGATGCACTCATGGTGGATTCACAGAAATGCTCTGACATGTCAGGTTTGAGCACAACCATTTCCACGTTCCCTTTCATCATATTTCAGAGCTGTTTAATCACAAAAAATTGAAAATGATCTGCTACATGATGTATCATTAATGACAAAAATGGTCAGTCTGGGGTTGTTGTGACACATTGTCTTCGTTGATTATAGACCTGTCAAGCTCTCCTCCTGGGCCGTACCATCAGGACTCTTACGTCCCCAAACAGGAGGAGAAATTCAAATCTCCCCCCATCCTGCCCCCTCATCTGTTACAGGTCATACTCAATAAGGACACAGGCATCTCAGTGAGTATCTGCAGAAGACCTTGCATTAGGGCTGTAAAAATGAGTAGTACCATTCTCTACTAAATGATTTGATTCGATGAAAGGCACTATGATTTTTACTGGAATGTAAGGAATTTATATATCAAAAGTAGGGTTTTTACAATTAATCAAATTCAAATTGCGATATTTGGACTAGTGTCTTTGATTATTAAATAACATTATCAAGTCAACATGCTCTGCGTTTTTGTCTACCGCACATACTTAAAGAAACTCACTACAAACCGGCAAAATAAAAGTTTCGTTTAACTTGAAGTTACGATAGAAATTGTGTAGTAAAATGTACTTCTTAAAATAATAATAATAATACAATTTATTGAAAAATATTGCTGTAATTTTTTACAATAAAAGTGTAGATGTGCAGTACTTTATTTGACAAAAAAGAAACTGAATTACATTTTTAAAGATTTATTAAATTTAAAGTTTTATAAATTCATTTGTATTAAATCATAAAACACAGAGTCCAGAAAAAAATCAAATGGACAACAAAGAAAAAAAAAGTTTTTTAAAATTGTGTTTCATAGCACTCAAGTATCAATAATATAAAACATATTTTTTATCAAATAAAATGTTCAGCTTAAATATACACAGTTCTATCTATAACTTTAGAATCTATAACATTATGTGCACTTATAGCTCTTATCTGCAAATATTGCTCTTGTATAGAGTAAAGGTCCGTTCACACCAAGGATGATATCTATAACAATAAAGATATAGTTCTAAAAATCATTCTAAATATATAAGAACGCAGAAAAACACTATAGTTGGAATCACTTTTAGAGTGTTTTTTTCTCCCAGCTGATGAATGCTATACAAATTTGACAGCCAATCAGAATCCATCCTGCTTTAAAGAGCTCAAACATTTAAAGTGACAGAGACAAAACTGAACGGACCTTAAAACTTGGTCATTTTTGTCTTTTCAGTGAATAGGCTGATCTGGTTCACAGTTTATCACAAACTAGCAAATTGATTTGAATTTTAATAGAAAAAGGCATGGGATATTTATATGAAAAAAGTCATGTTATTTAATTGGTCAAAATAGACTTCCATTATAAATGACTTAAATGACTATTTTTTTCTTTTGGGGATCGAGGCCCAGATTGGGAAACCCTGATGTAATTAGAGTAATTGTGTTCACTTGATTTCTACACTTAAAAAGTGTTTAATTTGCATAATTGCATTGTAAGGTCCAATACAGATGCTGCTAATAGAAATGCTTTCTTGTTTTCTAACAGTGTGATCCAGCTTTGCTCCCTGAGCCCAATCACGTCATGCTTAATCACCTGTACGCTCTGTCCATTAAGGTAAAGCAACTTAAAGAGCTCTGTGAGATGAACCCGCATTGATTTCAAGTCTGTTCTGATGACTCTGTATCTCGTCTGGCTCTCTGACAGGATGGCGTAATGGTTCTGAGTGCCACCCACCGGTATAAGAAGAAATATGTCACAACCCTGCTGTACAAGCCGATCTGAGAAACACGGCCGTTTCAAACGCTCAGTTTATACGACCTCTGATAGATCTTATATCAGTATGTATTATTGTAAATAGGGATGTACAGAGATGCACTTTAGAGAAAGAGCCCTACCCACTGGGTATACACTAATCAGAAACTACAGGACATATCTGCTCTTTTAGAGGTTGGTACACTTTTTAAAACCAGTGGAACTGGGCCAAAATGACTCATTCTAAATGTGTAAATAGAGCTTGACATGTTCATTATTTTGTTTAGTACAGTGTTTAAACAAATGATATAGCTGTGTAGATAAATATTAATATATTATTAGGAAGGATATTGATTATCGGCCAGAAAAAGGCCTGTTATTAGCAGTTTGTGTCAGAGACCCTAATATAGAAAAACTGAAGGGTTGAAGAAAATGTTTCACTCAAGAAACTAATTAAATTTTTTTCAATTTCATGAAAAAGTTGATCTTTTTACATCCATCTTTTAATCTTCTACATTTTTATTAGAACAGAGCAAAATAATTATTGCAAACATCTTGATTTAACTTTTAATCTGTGTTATGTTCTCTGAAATTAAATATCACTTTTAATAAATGATTCCACCAATTTTGGCTCCGTGTCATTATCGCGTTTACAATCGTATTGAGTTGTGGAAATTTTATGCTCTTGAAACCGTGAATGCCCTTCGTGCTGGCTTTGGACATTGTGGGTAAGTACAGCAGCAAATGGAAATCTTAAAAAAAAATTAAAAAAGTAAAAAGACTTGAAAATAATCAGGATATTACATAGACCAAAATATCCCCATAATAAAATATCTTTATAGACTCGTAATGTTATGCTCATGGATCTGTCATTACTCTTTAAAATAAAGGTTCTTTATAGTCATTGATGGTTCCTTGGAGAACCTTTAACCTCCATGGTACATTTCCATTGCATAAAAGCTTCTTTTTACTGGAAAAAGGTTCTTCAGATGATCAAAATATTCTTCCCACTAAGGCGAACCCAAAGGTTCACAAAGGTTCTTTGGCATCAGTAAGAAAAATCCCTTTTTTAAGAGTGTATAAACCATTTAAGAACTGATATAGCATTTCTTTTAGTTGCATCTATTTCAATTGTAGTTCAATTGCAAAAATCTTCAAAAGTATTTGGCTCTTCCGGTTGTCACACATTTGTGTAAGATGTGCAGTGCATGGTTACTGTGATGAACAACACCTGTGCTAACTGACTTCATGAATCCACTAAAAAGCACATTGAGACCAGTTGATGAGCCTCGATAATTTATTTTCTAATGTACTGAATTTCATGCATTAACTGACTTAAGTGTCAGACTCTGTTGTAACATAAGTCCCTGGCTAACGTTAACTGGCTAATAAACATGCTAACGTTTGATCAATTTCCTCTATAGATGCTGTCAAATTCATCACAAGATTATGCAATGCATAAAATGCTAGTCCATCCAGGACCACCCAGACAACATACCCTATGTCTACAGCTGTGACGGGCCAGGAAAGAAGGTCATCTGCAGTGAATAACAATGTTTCGCTTGGCCTACTTATCACATTGTTGTATTACAGAAAACATTCAGGTGAGAACAATCCATGTTATAGCACTCCTCAGTAGTTACTCACGCAATTACACAGTCATATAAAGGCTTAAGTAAATTACAATCCTAATGTGTTTTGGCACTTCTAGCACAGAAGATGGATATAAATTGCTTATTTTAGGTCACTCATGACGCAAGGTGCGCAGTACAAACAGGTCTGTCTGCAATCTTTGGTGTATTAAAAAAAAAGAAGACAATTACAGTTTATAGGAGTGCTGACGCAAAACATCCAACCAGGCTGCATGAATGTTGCATTATTATTCATTATGCGTGTGTGTGTGTGCGTGCATGGCTTAATAGCACACATTGACATTTTGTCAGTAAATAGGATCAAAATCTTAACACAATGTTCTTGACAAAATTTGGTAACACAACAATAAGGTTCTATTTGTTAACATTAGTTAACTAACTACATTAGTTAACGTGAACTAACAATGCAACATACTTGTAAAACATTTATTAATCTTAGTTGATGTTATTTTCACCATTTGCATCAGCATTATTAACTCTTTCCCCACCATTGACGGAAATTTCCGCCATTTATGAGACAGCGCTTCCCCACCATAGATGGAAATTTCAGTGTTATGTGTTTTCACTGTTATATGGCAGGGGGGGCTAATACACATACAATCATCAACATTAAACAGCATATAAATCAAAACTGCCTAATGTTACTGAATGAAATGTCGACCCAGGACGAGCTACAGGACTGTGAAGCTTTGATGGATCAATCTATGAGCAATGGATCAAGTGTTGATCATCTACTGCATCTGGGTTTTGATCATCGTTCTAAATCCCATCTAGACGAAGTCTTTGACAAAAACATGATTTTCTCAGCTTTTTGCTCAAAATGTTACTAAAAAAAGAAAAAAAAAAGAAACTTACATTCAAGTGTTGATAAAAAAGAATGCATGAAGCTAGAATAAAACTTTTCTCTTTTTTTTCTTTTTTTTTAAAGCAGAGGGTCTGTTCTTTCTTTTGCTATATTGCATGTTCAGATATTCATACAACAAAATATTCTGGGGGCCATGACAATTTTGTGAAAATTATCAACAATGGTGGCAGTGACTGACTACTTTTTTTCAAAAACTGGCGGGGAAAGAATTAAAATTACGTTGTATTAATCAAAGGACTTGAGCGAACAACAAGCAGTTGTATTTTTATTAACTAATTGTAACTCATCTTACACTGTAATTTTTTTAAAACATTTTTAAGTACAATCAACTGAGATGTTTAAGTCATTTAAACTTAAATTACGTTAAACTGACTTAATTATTTTGATACTTAATTATTTAGTTAAAGCAATGTAAAAACATATGTTGTCTTAAAGGTGCTCTATGTAACTTTTAGCGGCCTCTAGTGGTGATGTTTCAGATTGCAACCAAATTTTACAAGAGCGCTCGTGCTCGAACTCATAGACAATACCGTCTATTACGCAAATATCTCTGCGAATACTTGACGGATTCGGCGAGCACCGAGCTCGTTGGGACCATCTAGTCGAGCTGAAAAGAACCATATAAGTTCCATAGTTTTTGGTGGTGTTTTCGCGGAGATATTAGCATAAAACCATCGGGCGCGCTGCAAAATTGCGGACGCCGGTGACGTCACGATCTCAGAAGAAAATCGCTCGTATCTCTGGAACGCAAAGACCCAGAGAGCTCAAATTCGGGGGAGGAGGTCCCAGGGGAACCCTTGCCCGAACGCTAGAGTGGCGGGCCTCGGGGATGCCCCCTACCGGATCGCCGTTCGCTGGGACCCCCGATTTCGAACGGCTATAACTCGGGGAGCCGGGCGAGTTGGACCTCGGGGGTGGGCTCGTTCAAAAGGCCCCGTCCAGCACTACGAACGATTAGAGTCTTGGGAATATTGATCAAAGATTGACTGAGATATAAGCCGAAAAACGTGCGCCTTTAACCGGACGTAACTCCCTGACCGTCTACAATAGACTGTATATAAGGAGAGAGGCTCGGGAGCGCGCATGCACGTCACATCTGTTGGATTTCGCGGTAAATCCGACCCGGAGACTTCACATAGAAATAGGAATACTGGCCTTCAGAGGTAATAGCAAAACTCGACAAGTGGATCATTTTAATGTGTGATTACAACCCCTTCACACACAGGCAATAAAAAAAGGATTCATTTTAGTAGAAAAGTTACATAGAGCACCTTTAACTTATTGATCATATAACTTTTTAGTGTAGTTCATGTATGAACTAATGTTAACTAACAGTGTTGAGGGCAATGCATTACAACATGACTTGCACACAATCATGACTTTTTAACTATAGTAAACTAATGCATTACTTTTACAAAATATCGGAGATACTTTTTCAAATAAGCTGCTCTGTTTTCTCATTTACATGCACAAAAACAGATTCAGTATTCCTCAAAATGAATAAAAACAGTGAAATGCAAACTCATTTAATGAGAACTCATTTAATTAAACTCACTCAAAATAATTAAATGTGTTAAATAATACAAATACACTTTATGTATTTAATTCAACCATACCAATAAACAAAAAATGACTTTAGATAAACATCACATTTATGTTTTATCATTTTATTTTCTCTATTCAGCGCCCTCTACTGTACATGTGTGGATTTGTGGAACTTTTGGCATAAGTGCCAAAAATCCAACTTTATTTAAATAAAAACAAACAAACAAGCAAGTTCAGCCCAGATGAGAAAAGTAATGAAACATATTACTTTCCATAAAAAGTCAATTCGTTACTTTTTAAGGGAGAATTATTGTAATTTTTTTTTTTTTTTTTTTAAATGACTTAAAAAAAGGTTCAAAAGGGTTGTTTTTGCAGCAATGACATATTTTTATTTCCCCAAAGAACCTTTCAGTGAACAATTCTTAAAAGAACCATTGTTTTCTTAGTGGATGTCCTTGTCCTTGGTTTTTTTAGGCCTAAGTATTAAATAAATAGGTAAATATGATCTGTTTGAAGGTTTAATCTGGACAAATAAGCCGTTTCCTCATCATTAGCATAATGAGGCCACAAAGGCATGCTACGTCAAAATCAGCAGGAATGCTTGGATTCCTGAACATCCAAACCTTTTGTTTTCAGATGTTTTAAATGACGTTTCTTTAAATGCTGTGCTGCAGGACAATTTGGGAGAGATAAGTGTCTGGCAAGAACATAATGTGCTTGTAACCATTTGTGACTCATTTCAAATTGAAAGTTTGAGGTTTCACTTGAGGCTTCAGGGTAAAATCAGGTTAGCAAGTCTGTGGAGGAACTGTATGTCGGTCAAACTCTGGATATCATGCATTGGTAAAGCTAAACATCATGATTACATTCCAGTTCTGAGGAAATATCTCGAGAAATAGTTTGTGTACTTTTGTGAACAAGGTTAACAAATTCTTAGATTGTAATTTAAAAGTTCACCACTAGAAGACACTATAATCAACTTTATCCGTATGCAGGTTTTAAGGAAGGTTTACAATCAAATACCAATCCAAAGACGATCCTACATCTCCAAATGAGCGACAAACTGCTATCTTTTTTTGATT